GGGTGGCACCCTGATGCTGCATGTGGCAGTAGACATGTCAGTGAAGCAGTCTAAGGGAAACCTTTCTCTTCCATTCTACTGACAGTCTTGACCATCTGCTACATGCTGGACTGTTTGCATAGCACTACGGCTACAAGTTCAAGACCTGGGGTTTACCACTGACCATATCTGAGATCTAAAGAAGTTACTGCATTTCCGAGCCTTAGTTTCTTCATTTGTAAGTGTGAACGATGATGGTACCTACCACTTAGATTATGGATAGGATTCCTGTGTTTACTGGCATGTAAGGTATATAGGTTTTGTTTTTTAAAAGGTTGGGTTCAATGGCTCATGCCTGTAATCCCAGAACTTTGGGAGGCCGAGGTGGGAGGACCACTTGAGGCCAGGAATTGGAGACCAGTTCGGGCAACATACTGACTTCCATCTCTACAAAAAAATTTTAAAAAACCTAAAACGCTGAGTACTATGTTGTGAATCTGTAATTCCAGCTACTCAAGAGGTGGAGGCAAGAGGGTCACCTGAGTCCAGGAATTAAAGGCTGCAGTGAGCAATGATTGTGCCACTGTACTCCAGCCTGGGCAACAGAGCAAAACCTCCAATCTAAAAAAAAAAAATCTGCAAGTTCCCTTATGATTCACATGCTGCATTTCATTAGAGAACCAAACACTAGGTGTATGGTTCATGCCTGTAATACCAGCACCTTGGGAGGATGAGGGAGGAGGCTTGCCTGAACCCAGGAGTTTGAGCAAAACCATGTCCCTATAAACAATTGGTCAGGCACAGTGGTGCATGCCTGTAGTACCAGCTACTCAGGAAGCTGAGGCAGAAGGATCACCTGAGCCCAGAAGGTCATGCTACTGCACTCCAGTCTGAGTGACAGAGTGAGACCCCAAACTCTAAAAAAAAACAGAGAAAGAGAGAGAGAGAGACAGAATGAATATCAAGCTCCAAGGATTGTATTGATGGCAGAAAGACTTGGATTGTAAAGCAGAAAACATCGTATTTGTGAATACACAATGCATGTGTACTAGTACAGCATACCATGGACTAGAACATGGCAAAAAATAGCACCTAGTGTATCTGTAACACTGACATATTACTAGTGATCTAAAGATTGACTGACCACAGAAGTCCCACAGTGTGTGTCATACTTACATTCAACAGGACTCAGAATGCTCTTTCCTAAAGACTACCTCAATGAAGTTGGAATGTTACCACATATACCTGTGTCTTAAACCCCAGTAAATGCATATGAGAAGATAATTGTTCATCTGTTCTACATGTCAAAGGCCCAAAACACGCCACACGCTGTTCCAGATGCAGAGCCTAATATGGAAGAAAGACAAAGTCCCTGGTCTTGTGGAAGGGAAGCTAATGAGGGAGAGAGACAATATTCACACAAAAATGCCTTTTTAAATATTATGCCCTGCAGTGAAAAAACAAAGCCAGGCTGGAAGTTACAGAGTTCCAGGGGTATTATGTTTTTACACTGGCAGGTCAGGGAAGGTTTTCCTGAACCGGTGACATCTGAGCAGAGACTCGAAGGAAGAAAAGTGAGCTATGCACGTCTGGAGAACGTGACCAACATGGAAGGAAAAAAGAGGCTTGCAGCATCTTTAGGAGACACAGAAAAGGAGCCTTTCAAGGCCCATGATGCCCACAGGGCAGGAGCTGGGACACAACAAACAGGAGCTGGCACATAACGAGCAGGACAGCCACAGAGGTGGTGAGATTCCCAGTTCACAGAGGTGAGCCATATTTAGGAGCTGGACCCAGACCTTCTACCTCCTAGACCAGTACTCTCTGACTTCACAGGTTGCTACTCGGGCATGGGTCCCCTTAGGGGCAAGATGTGATCTGCTGCCCTGTGGACTACGCCCTCAGGGCCTCACAGAATAGGATTCCCAGGTAATCCCAACAGTATGACCCAAAGAGGGAGCTCTCACCATCCTCCAGGCCTCGGCCCTGGGGCCTGGCTTTGTGGCCCACCACTCCAGTGCCTGTGTGCACCTCAGGGGTTTCAAACGTGGCTGGAGTCACATCTGGGGGAGGAGAGGAGGGCGGAGACTAGAGTGAGTCTGAGGCAACAGTTCAGCAGGCTTTCCCCTCTCTGCCACCCACAGGGTCCTCTTACAGGGTGGAGGGGGCTCTCGGGACATCTTGCCCAGAGCGGAGCCAAATTTGATGGCGATCTGGCGCATCCGTTCTAAGTCTCCATTCTCCTCGGCCTCCAGGTACTCCTTCTGTGCCTGCAGCTTCTCCACATCAGGAAAGAAATCCCTCTGTATGACTGTCTGGAGGCCCTGTCAGATGAGATCAGAATAAGTTGGAGCTACCATCTGGTTGCTCCTCACTCACAGTCCAGTGTGGAACATACTAAGGCTCTTGCTGAACCGCCTTCAAATTCTGCCTTCCCCAATGACTGTGGCTTGCTTGAGGGAGCTTGGGGCACTCTCTAGCCAGGTTGAACATCCCACATGGCAGCCACGGGGCAACGTCTTAACATTACTGACCGCTCCTCTGATGTCCATGAAACACTTCTCTCCCCTCCTCACAAACTGGGCATTCTCCTTTGCTGGCTCCAGCTCTGCTCCAGACTAACCGACGTCGGTGTTACCAATTTATTCTACTCATGACTTTCTACTTCCAAGCGAAACTCTTTTCCCGAGTGACTTCAGCCAGTCACCACCGACTCTGATTGAGATGCCAGAGTCTGTGCCTCCAGCCAGATCTGGCTGCAATTCTGTGCACCCAGCTGTCCCCTAGTGTTACCCTCTTCTGCACATCCCCTAAGCGTCCCAAACTTAACTTGTCTAAAGACAAATCGACTTCCTCCAACCCCCGGGCCAAGCCCTTCTCCTGCATGCTTGCTATGGGACCAACACCCTCCTTAAGGGGGCACAGAGGCTCACTCACTCGAGATGCCGCCACGACCGCAGCCCGTTTCCGGGATCCCCGGCATTCCCACTCGCCGTTACTGCTCTTTAGAAAGTTCTCTCTGCCACCATCTTTCCGGTCTGTCAAACTCCCACTCACACTAACAGAAAGCCTTATTTCCCTGACCCCATCTCACACACACACAGAGCCTGGTCCTCTCTCCCCAACAACACTGCGGGAGCCTCCTCCCCCCTCAAAGACGCCTCCCTCTGCGCTGTCTACTCGGCTCTCGGGACGTCCACTCCCCACCAGCAGACACTCCGGCTGCTCCACGTCGCGGGGGAACCGAAGCGCCTGGACCCGAGAGCAGGAACCCGACAGCAGCGCGGGGCAGGCAGGGACCGGTGGTCCCCGGCGTCCGCCCCGAGACCGCACCTCGATATATTCTTCCTCGTCCAGGACCCGCTGCTTGCTCGTCCCAGCCCCGGCCTCCCCCGCCGCGCGCTTCCTCCGGGGCCCGGCCGCGTCGGGGAGCAGCAGAGTCCGGGCCGACCCCGCAGGACTTTCCATCGCTAGCCCAGGACCGCTCGTGCGGCGCAGGCGCATCACGGGGTCAAGGGGCTGCTCCGCACCATCTGCGCAGGCGCCTCCCACAACTGGCCAATGCGAAAGCTGTGCCTTTTAACTGCGCGCCTACGCTCGGTGTCACGTCACTACGGGTGCCAGACTTTATGGGAGTTGTAGTCTTCGTCCCGACCCGGGCCGTTCGTGCGTGTCTGGGCGAGGGACACGAGGGGGCGCTGTGATGAGAGATCTGGGGGATGTTCATGCTAACCGAAATTCTAGAGTCCAGAGTCCAAAGGCCTTAGAATTCCCTTTCTCAAGTCTGCTTCAGAACATAAAGCATGCACTCTGTCGCCCAGGCTGGAGTGCAGTAGCACGCTCATGGCCACCACAGCCTCGACCTGCTGTGCTCAGATGATCCTTCCGTGTCAGTCTTCCAAGTAGCTGGAACCACAGTTGTGCACCACCACTCCGGCTAATATTCTGATTTGCGTAGAGAGGAAGTCTCGCCAAGTTGCCCATTTGGTCTTGAACCCCTGAACTCAGGCAGTCCCCTCGCCTCCACCTCCCAAAGTGCTGGGATTGCAGGCGTGAGCCTCCTGCGCCCAGTGTTGCTTTGATATTATGAACAAAAACACACTTTCCAGAAAATTTACTTATATTCACATTTCAAACTTTATACAAGAAAAGAACCCTACAACAAGCCTTTCTTAATCGTTATCTAACAAAAGATACAAGAACAAGACAGTGGTTTGATAAATAAATGTGTGGTTAAACATTGTTACACCCTGAATGCCAGAGCAGGCTTCCCAGAAGAGGGCTAATTCTTGTTGAAGTGGGCCAGAAAATTGCCTAAGCACTTTTCAGGCATTTCTTCCCAAAAGTAGGTTGTGAATTATGTTAAGCAAGTAAGTTCTGCCCAGAACGATTTAGTAGTTTTGGCTTTCACAACATGTAGTCATCGTCATTCACAGGGGACTCCGCAGTGGTATGTCCTATCATAGAGGTGACGTTTCAGTGGCAAAGACAGATACACTAGGTAGAATATCCCACAAACAGATGTACAATTGCAGCTATGTCAGTGCAAGAAAAGAATTTGAACTTGGGGAATCTTGACCCAGTGGGGGAGAAAGTGATTGGAGATCCAAGACGTAAATGAATAGGCATTGTTCAGATGGAGAGGGAGGACCATGTGCAAAGGTCCATGGAGTAGTAAAGGGGACAATCGGTGGCGGGAGAGAGCAAGGCAAGTTCCAAAGAAGACCTTTGGATACAGAGTGCAGTGAGGTGTGAGATGTCAGAGGGGCAGAACCAAGCTGTATAGGATCTTGTGAGCATGTTTCTCTTTATTCTGAATTAAAGTAGAGACCGGGCACTGTGACTTATGCCTGTGATCCTAGCACTTTACGAAGCCAAGATGGGAGGATTGCTTAAGCCCAGAAGTTCAAGACCAGCCTGGACAACCTAGTGAGACCCCATGATCTTAAAAAAAAATTGTTTTTGTTTGAGTTGGGGTCTCACTCTGTCAACCAGACTGGAGTGCAGTGGCAGCTCCCGGCCACTGCAGCCTCGACCTGCTAGGCTCCGGCGATCCTTCCGCCTC